CTGCAAAGATGTACTGGAGCTGAGATGACTGACCTCCAACAACCACAACCATCTTCCTACGCACAAGGTACGATTTCCCCCTTGACACTGACTCCAGTTTTGCTAGTGCCCTTGATGCTAAAGTTGGTCAAATGCGGCCTTGATGTCAAGGGCACTCACTCTCACCTCAATGATACTAAGCTGTGTGACAGAATAATCCAGAGATTGCTATCTTGGAGATCTTACTTATTAACTTCACCTCTAACTCCTGAAAATCTAACTGTAGAACCGGTATACCTGTTCTCTCCACTTCATCGGTACCGATATGAAATAAAACTTGTGGTTCAAATGCTGAACCTCCTTCAACATCATGTTCCAAATTCATGATTTTTACCTCCTAGAAGGTCAAGGGCAGCAGATATGTGGGAATATGTGTCACTGCTGCAAGCTACCTTCAAAGCCACACAGCATCATGGCTTGGACCTGTATTGTTGTTCCTTCAGTATTCCTGGGTCAAAATCCTAGAACGCTCTAATACTGTAGGTGTACCTGCAGCTTATGAACTGCAGAGGTTTAAGATGACAGCTCAGCTCCAGCTTGTCAACAACATTTAGGGTTGGGAAACAAATGCTGGCCTAGGTGGGCATAGAAGAATTTAAAAAGCCTTCCTTTTCTTTTCAGAATATGCTACACCCGAAGATGTCTTTACCCTGGTACCAGGGATGCACCATTGTGATGGTTATGGAAGTATCTGTCTGACCCTCCATCTACAGAATCTGCTATGAAAATATATTTCCATTCTTTCTTGTTCCCTGCCTGTTGATGTCACAGGGATATATGTTCACAAATTATTAAAGGTGGTTGGATCAGCAGACGCCGTTCTAGGCATCATTAATAGGGGCATACAGCACAACAGCAGGGACGTCATGATGAATTTAGTGTCAATAGTGTGGAGCTGGAGGAACACAGCAGATCAGGCAGCATCAGCAGAGTAGGAGAGTCGATGTTTCAGGCATCATCATCATCAGAACTGGTGATGAAGGGTCTAGACCCGAAATGTCGACTCCAGCATCTGCAGTTCTTGCAATCTCATGATGAATTTATTTAGTTAGACCTCGGATGGAGTATTGTATTTAGTTCTGGGTGCCACACTGTTAGACGGATGTTAAAGCATTGGAGGAAGTGCAGAATAGGTTTGAGAGATGGTTCCAGGGATGAGAAATTTTGCTGATGAGGATAGCCTGAAGAGACAGTGATTGCTTTTCTCGGACAGGAGAAGGATGAGGGAAGATTTGATAGAAGTTTTCAAAATTGTGACTGGACAGAGTAGATAAACTGTTCCAGTTTGTAAAAAGACCAGAGGGCAGAGTTTTAAAGTTTTCAGTAAAAGAACAAGTGCAAAAAAAGAACAAATCACAGGAAAAAATATTTCCGCGCAAATAGTTCCCAATTAGAATGTACAACCTGAAAATATGGTGCAGGCAGGTTCAATTGAGGCATTCAAGAGGGCATCAGATGATTTTTAAAAGATCGAAACACAGTACGGGGTTCCAAGAAAAAAGCAGGCCAACACACTAATCCAAAATGCTGAGTCAGTGCAGACAGGATGGGCCAAAAGGCCTCCTTTTGCTCTAGAACATTTCTGTGATTCCATGGATTGACAGGTAGCAAACATAAAAATCAGAAAGGTGGTGTAAGAAAACAGAACTAGGGACCGCTTAGCTTGACTTCAGTCACTGGGAAAATTCTGAAATCCATTATTAAGGAAGTGGTAGTGGGACACGAAGAAATTTGTAAATTTATGAAAGGAAAATAATATTTGACAAATTGATTAGAACTTTTGAAGATGCAACTAGCATTTGCTTCTTCTAAACTGGAGAGAATATAGATCCAATTTACTCAACGTTTCATTGGATGACACTCTCATTCCTCAAGCCAAATTAATGATCCCTTGCAACACCACCTCCAAACCAAGTATATCTTTCCTTAGAATAGACTTCTTTATTCTTTTATTCCAATCTTCTTGCAATAAAGGCCAACAAGTCATGTGTCTTTCTAATTGCTTGCTTTACCTGCATGCTAAATTTGTTTCTTTTGTATGTATATTCAATCTCCCTGAGCACTAACATTTGTAAATAGCTGAGGCCCCAGCTCCCTGTGGCACTCTACTGGTTACAAGTCTGTCAACTTGAAATATTCTATTTATCCCTACTGTCTGCCTTATGCTCATTGATCAACCCTCCAATCATTCCAAATTATTACTCAACTCCACGAGCCTTTATTTTGCACGTTCGCCTATGTATAGCATCTTGCCAATATTATGTAGCTACTACTCCTTTGTATTCCATGACATAAAGACGTAAAGACCTCTTTAGCCTAAACCTAGCTATGCATGGTGATCATCTCTGACCACTAAAACAAATGTCAGCTTCCACACTGCACAAATATGGCTTACAGGTAGACACCGAATACCCTGCTCAACCTTAGATCAACTGCACCTCAATGCCGAACTCCTGCTGAAACTAAACTCCACACACGCTGGCTCACTGGTTCCTCTTTGCTTAAGACTGTGACTGGGCAACTCTGTTCAAAATAGAAGGGAGGGATAAATCAGGTGATGAGTACCACTGACCCAATATCAGTGTCAGCTAAGTTTCTAAAAAAATGATACAAAATAAAATTGACACCCAGCAAGACAGACTTGGGTGAATAAAGGACAACCACATGAAATTAAGCTCTTTGCAGCAGTAACTAAATGTTGGTAAAGTAACGTGGTCGATGTCATGTCTAAGGGTTTTTAGAGGGTGTCTGATAAGGACCCAAATAGAAGGTTTTAAGATTTAAAAAAAAACTAAATGGAATGTGGTAGCATGGATAGCAAGTTGCTAAAAGGAGATAAAACCAGTGCAGTGGTTAATGGATAATCTTTGGCAGGTGTAAAGAATGGTGCTCCCCCAAGGATCATTACTCTTCGACATATTTCACATGAATATAGTTTATTCAACCTGAACTTCGTTAAAAGGGGCACGTCATCAAAATTTGCAGATGACACAAAACAGGGAATATGGTAAACTGTGCAAACAGAGCAGATATTTTCAGTTGGAACTTTATTCAAAGAATTGTGGGGAAGAGAGGATGAGTACACTAAATGATTGAACACTAGTGAATGATTTACATATAGCTTTAAAGTGGGAGGACATAATGATCAAATAATAAAAGGAAAAGTTCCCCAGATATTGTAAACCGAAGCATAAATTACAAATGAATGGGGACATATAAACTTTTATAACTCACTGATTAGGCTGCAGTAAGAATACTATGTTCAGTTCTGCATGATAGAAAACATTCACGAAGATGCTAAGATAAGTGGTTTTAGTTATGAGGGGAGACCAGAATTACCTAACATACATGCTAAAAAGTAAAACTATGTGACCCAAATGATCCAGTGTTTACAACTCACCTGAACTCCTCCCATCCTCCTTTGTTTTATCCTACCGATATACTCTGTTATTCCTTTCCCACACTTGCACTTATGTAGTTTCCCTTAAATACAACTGTGCGTTCCCCTGAACTATCTCTATGGGAACAACTTCCATATTATCACCACATTCTGGGTAAACAATTTTCTGAGTTTCTTACCATATTTATTAGAGATACTTATGCCTCTGGACCTGGACTCCTCGATGACCACGCTATTAAAACTTTCATCAGGGCAACCCTTAGTCTTGCCTTTTCAACAGAGAACAGCCTGCTCAATTCTTTCTGATAGGAGTAACATTTTAGTGCTGGTATCAAACTTGCAAACATTTCTTGCACCTTCTTCAATGCCAAAATCCCTTTTTGTAATAAAAGCTTTTTAAAAGGGAACCGAAGAAATGTGGGAGTGACATCTTAAAAGTTAAGAGCAGGGAATGGGAATAAAGGCCAAGTCCTTTCAGAGAATCAGCACAAATACAAAGGGCTCAACGGTTTTCTCCTGTGCAGTACAATTCAGGAAATGCAACACATTGTTTGCAGGCAATGTTCCCATGCTCCCCTGCAAGGGTCAGCTTCTCTCATCCGTCTTCTCATCCATTGTGAATTCCTCCACATTGCCCAAGCTAAGTTCTTCAAAAAGGGCGAATTTCCTCCTTACAAATCACACTTGCACTGAACTCACAGGTGGTTCTTCTAAAGTTGGTGAGAAAATAAAAACTTGTAAAGCTGGTGTGCTGTAAGTAACAAATCTGGAAGAATGAAGGTGCTTTTCTTGTTCTCAGTCTGATGTAACCTCATTTAACTCCAAAGCAAAAAAGCTGAGTGAAGCAGTAATGAGGCATGCTCGGCATAAAGCCTAGCAAGTTGTTTTTATAGATCAAAAAATCCAGAGCAGACTCATCAAACCACAACACAAATGAGAATCCTAACAAAATTATTTCCCAAAATTAACACAGACCAGAACTGCAATCCATTAATCTCAGATTACCCAAGTACATGGAACCAGATGTAGAGAAGTTCACAATACAACTTTGAGTAGAACAAACTTACTGAGCCTTTATGAGGCTTCGTCCTGCACTCTAGACCCATGAGGTATGAACCAAGGATTTCAAGAGTCCTTTCAAGGCATTCCCAAAGTGGAAGGCGAGACTCTATCCCACACCCTGTAACTCCAGGGAGATTGTCTTTACATGAATAAACTGCTTGATTGTCTTGGTAGGGGAGCAAAACTCCAGAATATTCATCTACCCTCACACCTCCACTAGCATAACCCTGGAGTGATGCCTCTGCAGTGAGACAGGACTCACTGTGTCGGTGAATTACTCCAGCTGAGATGAAGCACGACTATGGGTTTTTATTCAGTTCGCGAGGTATCCAATGATCAATGACCTGCAAAATGTACGAACAATTAAATGTAGCTATTGACTGAATGTTTTATGTCTCCTGCTCTTGATGAAGCACTTTTCTACATACAAATAAATAAATTAATTAAATGTTTTTAAATAATGATTTTACTGACTCTACCATATCACTCGTTTGCTTACCGTGCTGATATCCATCCCTATCGGTGCCTGCGTTTGGTTCATTGGAGGGGATTGTGGCATTGTGGCTGTCTGTTGTTGGCCACTACTTTGCTGCTGTGACTGTGAGCTCTGAGCCAGGTTGCTGGAGCTCTGAGACTGTGGCTGCGTAGTCTGCTGCGTGAAAAATGGATATGCAGGAAGTTGCTGCTCCAATGCCAATGCATCCATAGCAACAGCCTACAATAAAAATAACACCTCTTAACTAGTAACACTTTCCACAGCCCACCACACTACACAATAAAACACAAGATGCAGCTTTTACAAGTTAGCTCAGAGATTGAATGTACAAGCTAGCATAGGCCCAAGTCATATACCAGAAAGGTTATAAGTACCATTTCTGGCCTGTGCTGAGATAGCTGATTGATTCCAAAGACTTTGACTGAAGGGAGAAAAATCAGCCAGGATTTCTGCCCAAGAACTAACTAATTGAGAGACCCCTGTTTGGAGTTATAGGTGAAAATGTTAGATGAGCTGAAATATTGTGTTCAGTTCTGGGCACCACACTTTAGGAAGGATGTCAAGGCTTGCAGATGGTGCAGTTGAGGTTTACGAGAATTGTAGTGTAGATGACGATCTTTAGTAACATGAGATGACTGGATAAACTCAGGTGGTTCTTCTTAGAAATGCTAAAAGATGTTTAAAACAGACTAATGCACACATATTGAAATTCTTTTGCTGCCTAATTCAGAGACTTACAAGGTTCAGTTGAAAACCTATAGTTTAGCACAAACACCAGTCTTCACCTTTTTCTTCTAGATCCTTTCCCTATCCAGGAGGCAACCCACCGCTGAGGAAGAAACCAGCCCTTAAGTATTTTAACTCAACCCATTCAGATATGTTGTGACACACCTCTGGAGCGAGTGGGACTTGAACCCAGGCCAGAGATAGGTTACATTACCACTGTGCTGAAACAGCCCTTCAAATTTCACCACCTGTCATGGTGGGATTTAAACCCATGTTCCCAGAACAGTAGTCTGACGTTCTGGATTATTAATCCAACGACACTACCACTATGCACCACATCCCCTGATACTTTTTATTTTCCAATCAACTTCTTCAGAGATGCTATGGCTCATGTCTGGGGTAGGTGGGGACACTACTATTGTGCCAAAAGCACTCAAGAACTCAGCTCTTTGCTATTTGTGGGATCTCGTTGTGTTGAAATTGGCTACCAAACTTCCTTTATGACAGCGTTAACAATTCAAAAGTACCTCCAAAGTCTAGGGTTCTGGAGTACTAGTCCACTGTCATCGCCACAACAATAGTTTCCTGTTGCATTCAAATGTCACCATCCTCCGTGGTCGGATTTCCTGAACATCTTGGCTTGCATAGGCAGGGGGATTGAGTTTAAGAGCCGCGAGGTAATGCTGCAGCTCTATAAAACTCTGGTTAGACCATACTTGGAACATTGTGTTCAGTTCTGGTCACCTCATTATAGGAAGGATGTGGAAGCTTTAGAGAGGATGCAGAGGAGATTTACCAGGACGCTGCTTGGACTGGAGGGCAGGTCTTATGTGGAAAGGTTGAGCGAGCTAGGGCTTTTCTCATTGGAGCAAAGAAGGATGCGAGGTGACTTGATAGAGGTGTACAAGATGATGAGAGGCATAGATAGAGTGGATAGCCAGAGATTTTTCCCCAGGGCGGAAAAGGCTATCACAAGGAGGCATAATTTTAAGGTGACTGAAGGAAGGTATAGGGGAGATGTCAGAGGTAGGTTCTTCACACAGAGAGTGGTGCGTGCTTGAAATGCACTGCCAGCAGTGGTAGCGGAGTCAGATACATTAGGGGCATTTAAGTGACTCTTGGATAGGCACATGGATGATAGTAAAATGAAGGGTATGCAGGTTAGTTTGATCTTAGAGTAGGATAATAGGTCGGCACAACATCATGGGCCGAAGGGCCTGTACTGTTCTATGTTTTATTAGCCTGGTGTTCTGGATTATTAAAACAAAACAAAGAACTGCAGATAATTAAGGTCATCATCACAGAATCCCTACAGTGTGGAAACAGGCCCTTCGGCCCAACAAGTCCACACCGACCCTCAGACATCCCACCCAGACCCACCTCCCTATAACCTACCTAATCTACACCTCCCTGAACACTATGGGCAATTTAGCATGGCCAATCCACCTAGCCTGCACATCTTTGGACTGTGGGAGGAAACCAGAGCACCTGGAGGAAACCCACGCAGACACAGGGAGAACGTGCAGCCTCCACACAGTTGCCCAAGGGCAGAATGGAACGTGGGTCCCTGGTGCTGTGAGGCAGCAGTGCTAATCACTGAACCAACAGACAGAAACAAAAACTGCTGGAGAAACTTGGCAAGTCCGGCAATATGTGAAGAGAACTCTGTTCTGAAGGAGGGTCACTGGACTTGAAACGTTCACTCGGTTTTCTCCCCACAGATGCTGCCGGACCTGCTGAGTTTCTTGAGTAACTTGTTTTTGTTTGCTTCTGGATTGCTAGTC